ACACCACTGCCATAGCTCCTCGTGTGGGCAGACAAGCGGGCTGTGGGAACCCCAGCCAGGCGGGCAGAGATGTCGGGGACAATTTAGCAGGTGGCCTCGTTACTCCCAGATCTGTCGCCATGGTAACCTGGTTTTCTTTAAAAAATGTACAGTGCCAAGAGGAGGAAGATGGCTGACAAAATCCTCCCTCAAAGGGTGAGTGCCTTTCACAGCAGCCCCCAGCCCGCCCCCCACCCTTTGCTGCTCCGCCCTCCCCTCCCCTTCCCTCAGGAGCAAAGCTTCAGTGTCACAGTCACTTTCACTTTTTGTTTAAAAAGCTAATTAAGAAGCGAGACTCCCCAGGCCAGAGGGAGGGGGTGGGGCGGAGGGAAATAAGGGAGCTGTGAGGGATAGGATCCTGGGCCTGGGGTTCAGTGGACTGAATTCTAGCGGTCCTAAGACATGAAAGCTGGAACAAAGAGGGGACCCAAGGGCTGGGGGTCAGATGCCGGCAGGTGGAGTGAGAGGAATGGAAGCTGGCCGGAGGCATCACAGGCCCAGGCTGAGCTTGGCGAGGGCTAGCATGGCTCAGACCTTAGTGCAGGGACTGGAAGAGACACTAGGGTAGAGACAAGCAACGCTACCCCCAACTGTCTCAGGGACTGCAGAACCTGAAGCTACTTTGCAGGGACCGAGAGAAGCCCAGCGGCCATACCACAGGGGAAGATGAGGCAGTTCCACCCTCTCTTGGTGGGCCCACAGTTGCTACCTTCTCCCCTAGTGATGAAATGGATGAGCCTCCCTAGAGGGAAAAGCAGTTTTTCTCTCTACAAGCTGAGGGCCCTACCGATGGATATGGAATCCTGGGGAGAAGTCTTATTCACACTCAACATTTCCACGCCCTGGAACTGGATGACTCCCCTCCCTTCTTTGTACCCTGGGATGGCATGGCTGACATGCCCACATGCAATGTTACAAGGTTTGCAGAGCCCTGATTCCCCGCCTGGCTCCTCCTGCAGATTCGGGAGCTGGTCCCGGAGTCCCAGGCGTACATGGACCTCCTAGCATTTGAGAGGAAACTGGATCAGACCATCATGCGGAAGCGGGTGGACATCCAGGAGGCTCTGAAGAGGCCGATGAAGGTGCCTTAGTCTGGGGGCAGAAAGAGGGCTCTAAGGCTGTTCCCAAAATGGGGTGGCAGGGTTGCCCTGGAGTGGGATCACACAGTATCTGCTCCGTACTACACTCCTTATTTCCACAGCAAAAGCGGAAGTTGCGTCTTTATATCTCCAATACTTTTAACCCCGCGAAGCCCGATGCTGAGGATTCTGACGGCAGCATTGCTTCCTGGGAGCTGCGGGTGGAGGGGAAACTCCTGGATGACGTACGTCCTGGCCCAGGTCTCTCCAGGTGTCCTGGGGTGGGTATGGGGCTGAGTTGAGAGACAGAATCAAAGTGTGCGCTAGGGGTGGGTGGGCCTAGAGACATTGTGGGTAAAGAGGACCGCATCTATCCTTGCTGCCCTGCCCTTCCAGCCCCACCCCTCTCAACCTGGCCTCCTTCTGTCCCCACGGTCCCTGTTCTGCCCCCACGGTCCCTGTTCTGCCCCACAGCCCAGCAAGCAAAAGCGGAAGTTCTCTTCCTTCTTCAAGAGTTTGGTCATTGAGCTGGACAAAGACCTCTATGGCCCTGACAACCACCTAGTTGAGGTAAGACTAAGACCTGTTCTGCCTTGACCACTATCCCCACCACAGGCCCAAGTCCCTGAAGCACGAAGACCAGAATCCCCACCAACTCTAAGGGCTCACTGATTTGGACCAGGGACCACTCTGGTGCCCTAGGCTCCACCAGCCCAGAGGGGCCTGTGTTATAACCTAGCTCTTATCCCCTGTACAGTGGCACCGGACGCCCACCACCCAGGAGACAGATGGGTTCCAGGTGAAGCGGCCGGGGGACTTGAGTGTGCGCTGCACCCTGCTCCTCATGCTAGACTATCAGGTCTGTGCCTACCACTGCCACCCACACCACACGAAGCCACCCATGCCAGGCACAGCCAGCGCCAGCCTCCCCCTTTCTTTTTAGACAGGGTGGGCCTAGGCCTCAAAGCTGTGCATCCTGAGACCCCATTTTCCTTCCTACATCATCCTTCTCCAGAAGCATGTTTCCAAGGAGCCCAGTCAACACATCTCTCAGCCCCAAGCTGCCTGGCCCTGAGTTCTTCCCACCCCTCTTTATCTCATTTTCATGGCCACCCTTCCCCAGCCTCCCCAGTTCAAGCTGGACCCCCGCCTGGCCCGGCTGCTGGGACTGCACACACAGAGCCGCTCGGCCATCGTCCAGGCCCTGTGGCAGTACGTGAAGACCAACAGGCTGCAGGATTCCCACGACAAGGAGTACATCAATGGAGACAAGTACTTCCAGCAGGTAACCTCTCTCCTGAACCCAGGGAGCAGGGAGCAGGCAGTTACCAGCAGGGGAAGGACTTCTCAGAAGGTAACACCACCCCTCTACTCCATCCAGACTCCTGAGTTCCAGAAACAGGAAATAGTCACGGTCTTGGGGCCAAGAGACCAAGGGCTCTCATCTAACCCTGGGGCAGTCAGGAAAACCAAATTGCTATGAAAGTGATTTGACAAAATTCTACCAAAGTAGAGATGACCATTATTAGCATATTTCTAAGTAAACACAGCAGATAAACCCGAGGCGTGAACACAGCAGTTGACATTTATTGAGCACTCCCCCGTGTGTCAGGCACTGTTGCACGCACTCTACACGCACTGATTCATTTCTTCCTCACAACAGCCCTGTGAGGTAGGGACTGTTATCCCCACCCTAGAGATGAGGAAACTTACTCAAGGTTACACAGAAGTGTGGAAGCAGGGTTTACACCTAGGCAGACAAACCACGGCCCAAGCTTTCAATCACTACATGACACCGACCCTCTTCCTTGTTCACCACCACCACCACCACCACCACCCACCCTCCCCAGTCCCATCACAAGCAATGAGGAATCAGACTTGGTCCGAGCTTCTTGTGACCTTTCCAGAATGGAAGGATCCAGAACTGCAGTTTTGCTCTCTTCAAGCACACAAGAGTGATTTCTGACTCTCCTGCTTCAGATTTTTGATTGTCCCCGACTGAAGTTTTCTGAGATTCCCCAGCGCCTCACAGCTCTGCTGTTGCCCCCTGACCCAATTGTCATCAACCATGTCATCAGGTGAGATGGCCCCACCTTGCTCCTCAGACCAGGGAATCATCTTATCCCTGCCTTCACTGTCCCTGCTTCTCCCTCCCACCTCCCCTCCCCATTGGATCTGCCCAGCCCTGTGTCTGTGGCCTCTGTGGGGACATCTTGGAACCAAGGGCTGTACTTCCCTGGCAGTGTGGACCCATCAGACCAGAAGAAGACGGCATGCTATGACATTGATGTGGAGGTAGAGGAGCCGCTGAAGGGACAGATGAGCAGCTTCCTCCTGTCCACGGCCAATCAGCAGGAGATCAGTGCTCTGGACAGTAAGGTGTGGCCAGAGTCCAGAGCTGGCATAGGGCATTAACCCAGAAACAACAAAGTGCAGACTTATAAAAGACTGGGCACAGATTAGCTCATAAACAACAGCACCTGTGAGTACCGTGCTCTTTCAAAAAAAAAAAAAAAAAACAACTATACGAGACCAATGGTCAACATTTACCCTAAGGCAAAGATAAGAACGTAAGGGGGGCAGGGGGAGACAAGGAAGCTAGATCAATAGAAACAGAACAACCAGAATGGAAATAATGAAAATGCTGACACATTGTTAAATGTAACCAATGTCACTGAACTCTGCACAGAAATTTTTAAATGGAACCTAATTTGCCGTGTAAACTTTCACCAAAAACAAAATACTATTCAAAAAAAAAAAGACTGGACATGGGCCTATGGAGAGATAAAGGGGACGAATGGCCCTTCCATTGCTACTTGGAGCTCAACCTCATTCAAAGTGTAGTTCTGTACCCTGCCCCCCCTTCCCTGGGACTTTAGCAGAATCAGGGGCTCTGAGGGATTGCCCTTCAAATGAACAGGGGGAAATCCCTCCCCTCAACTTCTCACCACCTTCCTTTCACCCTCCTCTCCCACATCACCAAGGCCAGCTTGAGAGCATCTATCTTTCTACCTGTAGATCCATGAGACGATTGAGTCCATAAACCAGCTCAAGATCCAGAGGGACTTCATGCTAAGCTTCTCCAGGGACCCCAAAGGCTATGTCCAAGACCTGCTCCGCTCCCAGAGCCGGGACCTCAAGGTGAAGAGGGAGACTCGGGAATTACTGGAGTGGAAGACAAGCACATTTGGAAAGACAGTAAATGCTGTACACAGGTGAAGGGTAGGTGACTCTGGTTTAGGGCTGACCGCCACTGCTCCCTCCCAGGTGATGACAGATGTAACAGGCAACCCTGAAGAAGAACGCCGAGCTGAGTTCTACCATCAGCCCTGGTCCCAGGAAGCGGTCAGCCGCTACTTCTACTGCAAGGTAGTGTGGGTCCCTTGTGCTCCAGACTTGCCCTCTCCTCCACTGCAGGAGAAACTGCCCACCTCAGATTTGCCGGTTGCCCTCACCCACTCCACGTGGTGACTTTCCTGCCACACCCCCTCCACCGTGGAGGAACTCTCCTGAGGCAAGGGGCAGTCGACAGGTGGGGTGGTTCTGCTCGCTCACCAGGAATGCCGTAACCTGCTCCTACCCTTTCCCCAAAGATCCAGCAGCGCAGGCAGGAACTGGAGCAGTCGCTGGTTGTGCGCAACACCTAGGAGCCCCTCTGAATGAGCACCACTATGGACCTTCGGGGCTGGGGCCTGTTCCCAACTCCCCTGACACCTCTGTGTGAGACTGGGGCACTGGATTAAAGGTTGTTTATCTGATAGCAGCTGTGTGGTTATTGGAAATTGGGCAGTGGGGAGGAGGAGGTAACGGGTCCCTCTGGGAAGACTTCCAAGCCTTCCTTCAGCTTCTTCTCCTTACTCCGTTTTCCCTAGGCCTAAACAGAGTTTGGCAGAAGACACTTTTAATAGCATTTTCTTATTTGAAACCTACAGCAACAAGCTCTCCATCATCCATCCGTCTTGCCTTCCCCTTCCGAGGCTAAGGCAGAAAAGGGAAACCCAATGAGGTACAGGACCCCTCAGGTGTGCTAAGTGCTATTGGCCTGCTCCTGCTCAAACAGCGCCATGGCAAGCTGGGCACGGCCCCCCAACCCCTCCAGGTTGCTGAGGCGGCAGCGGTGGTAGAGTTCCTCGCTGAGCCGGGAGCTACAGTCCCGCAAGGAGAACTTCTGCACCAGCCCTGGCTCTACGGCCCGGAAGAGGTGGAGCCCTGAGAACCGGAGGAAAACATCCATCACCTCCAGCCCCTCCAGGGCTTCCTCCTCTTCCTGGCCTGCCAGTTCACCAGCCAGCCGGGCTCGGGCTGCCAAGTAGTCTGCGTTGTAGAAGCAGCCCTCCGCAGACGCGTGTCGGTCAAATCTGCCCCCTACGGAAGCCCCCCGGGAAGGGTCAGCACCAGGAGGGGACAGGGCATCAGGGCCAGCCCCCAGAGGCCCTGGGGGTGACCGCGGTGGTGACAGGGTGGGGTTGAACTCCTGAAAGTGCACTGGAAAAAAAGCCTGCCAGCCTGAGATGGCATTCATGCGGCAGCGGTTGAGGACCTCGGGCCCAGGCCTCGTCCACACGGTAGTGAGGAAGAAGAGTGTGTCCACTGGGTGCTTCTTAGAGATCACATCCATGAGCCGCACCTGGGAAGGAGTCTCGGCTCGTACAGCGAGCCAGGCCAGCCTTGTCCCAGGGTACCGCCGCTCTAACTCAGCTGCTGCAGCCTTCACCCCAAGAAATGGGTCTGGGGCCCCTCGGCCAGCGTCCCGGTGCCCATAGACCAGCAACAGGGTGAGTAGGGCATGTTCTCGTGGCTCCAAAACACTGGCTGCGAAGGCCTCCAGGAAAGCAGAAGCCGCGGCAGCTTCAGCCACCAGAAGCGGCAGCACCAGCTGTACACGGGTGGCTTCAGTGACATAAGGCATGGGTAGGATCTCCACACGGCTCAGTGGCCGCAGCAGGCTGACCCTGAGAGCCAGGGCCCGCCGGTGCCCACGCTGAGTCACGGCTTCCAACAACAAGTCCAGGGTGTACTCCATGCCCCGGGCTGGGTCGAAACGCCGGTAGCCATTGAGGAGCCGCTGTTTCTGGAAGCGTAGACGGGGTTGATAGCGCCGATTCAGCTGTTCCAGGGCAGTCTCCACAGCATCGCCCACATCCGCCCTGCTAGCCCCTTGCAGTGGGCATTTGGGAGCCCCATCTGCACAGGAAAAGGTGTGCTGCTCTGTGAAGTAGTCCCAGCCCAGGACCTCAAAACGAGAGTGTGGTGTGAAAGGGGCTGGTAGCCCAATGGGCCAGCTCAGACCTGCCTCCCCCTCGGGGGTCAGCATTGTCAGGTTCCGGATCTGAGCCTAGGTGGGAGAGAATGCATAGTTGGTACCAGATCTAGGAGCCCACCCAACTCTCGCTTCCTGGGTGCTGAGATTCTACTGGGGTCAAAACCCAAAAAGCTGAGCTATGTCCTAACTGTCCACACTTAGAGAGGTGCCCTTTGGCTAGTCGTTTCATTCCCTGTACTTTATATTCTTCATCTGTAAAATGTGAAGGGAGTATGACTCATCCCCAACCTTCCACAATTACTATGAGAAGGAAAAGATGAAAAATGTGCTTTTGCAAAGGTAAGAGTATCCTGAAATATAAAGCTCAACAGTCTCTCTCACGTACTCTAAGTATTCACACCCTCTGCATAATCAAACCCTTGTTTCCACCTACATGCCACCTGTGACAACCCCCACACTCAACTAGAGACTTCTACCTTGGGGCATTTTTAGGACAGTTCTAAAAGTTCAGGAACTTCTGGACTTTTGCTTCCTCAGTGGAAAGGAGCTAAAACGACTGTCTGAACACTGTACTGCGCATCGTGACACAGTTCATCTTTAACTGCATTCACGTCACTCCAGGGGTTCACCGCTGACCTGACCTGCAAGAGAGCCCACTTCCCTTTAGTTAAGTTATGGTATGATCAACATCTTTCTACTCATCCACTACAGAGCCTAGCCCAGCCTCCCCACTGCGGTCCTCTGGCCTACCTGTCTTCTTTAGCTCACCTGCAGCTGTTCTATTTCACTGTAAGCCCGCTCCAACTCCAGAGCACTGAAGCGGTGGTGCAGCCGGTACATGAGGGCCCCCTCGGGGACGGGGTGCACTGTGAAGGCACTGAGGAAAGCCGAGCTCTCCTCCTTCTCAGGGTCCCTGTTTTTGGCCAGTTCAAATGAGTGATAATGCTGCCCCTAGAGGGACCAAAGAGACCAGTCAGTGCCACACTGTCCCAAACTGCCCTTCACTACACGCAGCCACCCACACCAGTGCTGCTGCTACTCTAGGATGGGCGGAAGTTTGGAAAGGAGAGAGCAAGTAGGCAATTAAGGACACTCTTTCCCCCCAAAGAATCCCACTGTTTCTCAAGAGAATGAAAGCCACAAGTCAGAAAATACTCCCAATACTCTGGTTTTGAGAGGACAGGCCACATCTGGGAGCTTCCCCCCTTCTCTACTACAGCAAGCACAGCAGCTTCGGGGCTAGAAAAGTGGAAACTTTACTCCTCTGGGGTAGTGGCCATTTCCAGGAAACGCCTGGGCTTTTCATCACTGTGCTATGAGTGTCCCGGGGGAGGGGTAGAGGGCAGGGCAGCAGATGGGGAGGAGAACGGGTGATTAGGGGCACATTTCTGTCTTATTCAGAGGTTCCTGGATAAGATGTACTCTTGACAGCCTAGGTTCTAAGACTGCCGAGGTGAGCAAGAGCCTGCCAAAGGGCAGATCTGTGGTTAGGTAGGGGCAATGACCTCCAAGCTGCCAGCAGAAAGGAGCCAGCAGCACCGGCATGGAGATGAGTCACTGAGTCACTACTAACTTGTTGGGAACTGGAACGAGCTGTTACCTGGTGCTGGGAGACACAGCCAATCCCCAGAGAGTCGATGAGGCAGCGGCCAAGCCACTCGTCAGGACGGGCACTGAGAATGTCTCCTCGACAGCCATCAAGGTGTGGCCGCAACCGGAGCAGGAGACTGCGTGACAGCAGGTAGCCAAAACCACCATGACAATACCGGGCCTGCTCACCAGCACCAATGAACTCCTCAGCCCGGCCCAGGTACAGGTCCTGGTTGATGCTAAGGTGGCCAACAAGGGCTGCCAGGCGGGGGGCCTGCACATACGTGTCATCCTGCATTATAAAGAACCAGTCATAGTCAGCCCCAAAGTGTGTGTGCAGATGGCGCAGAGTCTCGGACATGAGCCAGGCTGGTCGCTCATCCCCATGAGATACCACCTGCATCCCTGATGGGGCCCGTGGCCCTCGCTGCCCAGTGAAGTAAAGTAACCGAGGGAAGTGGTGAGCCACCGTGCGGTTCACAGCCACAGCCAGAGTGGACAGTGTGGCTCGGGAAGTCAGGACAGCCACAAGCAACCTCTCACGAGAGCCCAGCTCTGTCTGGATATACCGAGTCCTGTGGAGAGACCAGCGTGTCAAGGGTCAACTCCCTAATCTTTAGGAACCAGCTTGTCCTACGTATACATCCCCCTAGGAATGAGTGAATTAGGTTGAGAAAAGAGAAGGGAGAAACCTCCTCATCAATATTAATTGGCTACTGGAATGAGTATCCACTGATTAGCTATACTTTGTACCTGTACTTTGGAGAGGGTCTACTAAGGATGGGTTAGCTGGCTTAGATGCAATCCCTGCCTTGTTCAAGAACACTGAACACGAATTTAGCAACAATAGGTGAGACTTTCTTAGACCCAAGAAAGGGGAAAAATAGGAACAAACCGTGACGGAGAATAAGACAAAGGATTGTGTCGAGAAGCTTAACAAGCTGATCAACAATGGGCAAGCAGAGGCAAGTGAGCAGTCTAAACTGAGGTCTGGTGTCTAGAGACTGCACTCAGAGCTCTCACCTGAGCACCTTCTTGTAGGGCTTGTTGGGATCCCTGTAATAAGGGATAATCCGGGGTTTGAAGTCTTCATCACTGTGATCCAGCCGAGTTCTTGAGTCCAGATTCTGAGGCTCTCTAAGGTCTCCCACAGCCTCTACACAGGGATCTTCTCCCTCACCCTGGACCCAGGAAACTCGCAACAAGCTCAGGCTGCATCCCAGAGACAGCCCTAGGATGAGGGGCAGTGCTGGTCGCAGCAGAGCCAAAAGGGAGTTCAGTCGCATGGTGGTAGGTCCTGCCATGTGTGCCCCAGAGGGCACAGCCTCAAGGATCAATGGGGTTGAGGGCGCCAGGCCAGCAGTAGGCCTTGACTTTTAACCAGGGAACCTGGGGTCAGTGAGGTCAACAACAGAGCAAGGCATGAATGCTTCCAGGCCCAGCATCCCCTAGGAAGCTTGACTTCTTCACTTCTCTGCCTGGTCTTCAACTGTCAAGGTGCTAGATCTAACCCTCAGCCCAAGTAGCAACAAACTTCATTCACTACGGGGATCACGTTCTGTCTTCCAGTGGAAAGGGGAAGAATACTGCCAAACCTAACCTAAAAATACTGCCAAACCTAACCTAAAAAGCACAACTACACATATCTGTAGACTAGATCTAAGTTAAGAGACAGCAGCAACTGATAAAGAAGGGGTTTGAGAAAAGCACATGATCTGTCAAAACAGGCACCAACCTGAGGGAACCTGCGTCTGTCAGCCTTTCCTAAAGAACACCTGGCTCAGGGCAGTTTCTCACTCAATTTATTGAAGGAGCTGCTGGCTTACTACTAAAGGCTGGCACAAGAGAAGGCGATCGGGGCTGGAGTAACCCCTTCCTCCAAGTCAGGAATGATCAAAGAGCAACCAGCATCCTGAACAGAACCACAGAAGTTTGGCCCAGCCAATGAGGTAAACCGTGATGTGACTCAGCACTGAGATCCTCTCAGAAGAGCACAATGGCTAGTAAAGCCATTTTTTATGGCCGCCTTCTCCGAATTCCAGCTGCTGAGAAGTTGCTCTTGCCTCACCTTTGTCTTGAGAGAAGAGAGGAGGCAAATTACAGTAACTCTCGCTGTGTATGAGCTATTCGGTATCTGGCTTTACCAGAAAGGACCCCAAGTACAAAAAACACACACACAAAACGCGAGTACAAAAAGCTGGAGACCATGCCGGGATTTTGTAGACAGCAAACAGAAGTTCAGCTGGCTTTGCATATGAACATGGCCAGTGGACCAGAGCTCCTGCTCCACCTCTCAGCGGTGAAAGACAAATTCTAGTCCTAGGAAGAAGGCCAAAAGCTTAGTTTTAGCCGTTAGTCTCAAAAGAGAAATAAAATCAGCGACGTCAAGGAGCTGTCAGGAAGGGTCGGAGGGGGACTAAGCTCAGTTTGTTCGGCAATGGTTTGAGAGCCGGGGCTAGGCAAGACAAGCGTTAAGAAGAACGGTAGCAGGCTGGAGAGACATTTAGATCGCGCATCGCTGAGGGCTGCTGAGAGAGAAGAGGAAAGCCTCGTTCTCAGACCCGTTGCTGGGGGGGCCAAAGCCCTGAATGAACCAGTGCGACAGCCGGGGCAGGTGGGCGAGGGTCAAAGGGGGATCACCCAAGCACCAAAGAGAGGCCAGGGCCGGTGCTGGCGCAGTAAGGACCAAGGACGGCTCGGCTCCGGCCCAGGGTAGCTAGCTCCGCAAGCCCGTCCTGGGGTTTGGACGTGGGGGACGGAGAATCGGGACGATATCCTACTCTCGGCAACAGCCCGCGACGCCCCTGCAGGGAGTAAGGCCGGTAAAGGGAAACAGACCCCAACGCCCGCTGAAGCGCAGGCTCCACCGCAGCAGCCACTGCCACCTCACGAAGCCCAGCCGGCTCCTTCCTCTTCCGCTCCACTAGTTCCCGACCTCTATGGTGACCGCTTCCGGCCGCTCGCTCCGCCGGCTCCCTATCTATGATCCCGGTCCGGCGCCCGGGCCAGCCTCCGGTGACGCCTTCGCTGGGCCCCGAGACGCTCGCCGCCAAGGAGTAAACCACAGTTCTGCAAGTGAGTGAACGGAAGCTGCACCCAGAGGGGCCACAGATCTTCGGCCATCTGCTCATGAACCTCATCCTCAATGAGCAAGCTTCTGTCTCCTAGACGACTTCTCCCAGTTAGCTTGGGAACATCATCGTTCATTAATTTATTTAAGAATGTTGTTTCATTCTTTGATGGTTACGGAGGATGGGGAGGGAGGGAAAGGGGTATTCACTAACGAGATAGTAGATAAGAATTATCTTAGGTGAAGGGAAGGACACAGTACAGGGGAAGTAAGCACAACTGGACTAAACCAAAAGCTAAGAAGTTTCCTAACACAACCAAACACTTCGAGGGACAGAGTAGCAGGGGCAGGGGTCTGGGGACCATGGTTACAGGGGACATCTATGTCACTTGGCGTAACAAAGTTTATTAAGAATATATTCTGCATCCCACTTTGGTGAATGGCCTCTGGGGTCTTAAAAGCTAGCGAGTGGCCATCTAAGTAAGTAAGACACATCAGTTGGTCCCAACCCATCTGGAGCAAAGGAGAATGAAGAACACCAAAGACACAAGGAAAACATTAGCCCAAGAGACTCCATCAGCCTGAGAACAGAAGAACTAGATGGTGTGCAGCTACCACCAATGACCACCCTAACAGGTAACAACAGAGAGTCCCTGATGGAGCAGGAGAAAAGAGGGGTGCAGAACTCAAATTCTAGTAAAAAGACCAGACTTAATGATCTGACTGAGACTGGAGGGACCCCAGAATACGTGGCCCCTGGACTCTCTCTTAGCCCAGAACTGAAACCATTCCCAAAGCCAACTCTTCAAAGATTAGGCTGGATTATAAGACATAAAAGGATACTTGTGAAGACAGTGCTTCTTAGCTCAAGTAGATACGTGAGGCTAAATGGGCAGCTCCTGTCTGGAGGTGAGATGAGAAGGCAAAAAGGGACAGGAGTTGGTTGAATGGACACGGGAAATCCGGGGTGGAAAGGAGTGTGCTGTCACATTATAGGGAGAGCAGCTAGGGTCACATAGAAATGTGTGTATAAATTTTTGTATGCGAAACTGACTTGAACTGTAAACTTTCACTTAAAGCACAATAAAAAATAAAAAAGAATGTTGTTTGCCTACTAAATTCCAAGGTTTTTTTTTTAATATATTTTATTGTACTTCAGGTGAAGGCTTACAGAACAAATAGTTTCTCATGAAACAGTAGTACACATGTTTTATGACATTGGTTAACAACCC